TCACTCAAGTGTTTAGCTATCTCTAGGGCAAACAAAATGCACAGCCCACTGCAGAAGGGTAACCTTGCCTGTCTTCTGTGACCTTTACTTGTATCCTCCCGTTCCTAGTAAACACAGAGCGCTGCGTTCACTACAGGCAGAAGCACAAGCTCTTGACCCACCCTACCTTAGAAGCACATTCTGAGAAGAGGAAGAAGTGACTTTACAATTCCACCAGTGGGCAATAGCCCTGGCCACCCCCTGTGACAGATCAACTCCAACTGTAATGTTTCTAAAGCATTTGCATTTTCTGTGGAAATGAGTAAAAACTCAGTTCTGACCTGTAACTACTTAAAAGTCCTATCCTGAACAGAGTTCATGAAAAGCACGGAGCCATTTGGCAGCTTCATCACTGTGGATTTGTACTAAGATGCAGCTGGCATTACCCACATTTGCTTCATCACAGCAAGGAGTTCTACTGAAAATCCAAGAAGCTGCGCTGTTTTAACAGAACATAAGCCGCATGAGTGAGTACTACCTTCCAGCTGGTCAGAAGAGGTGTTATTATTCTCATGCAATGTAAGGATTTTGCTTACTGAACAATCATAAATACAACCCAAGCACCTGCCTTAAGAACAAACTCGAGTCCTATTACAAATGGCACATGTGACACTTACGCAAGCCTTGGAATCTCCGATGATCCGAAAATATCTGAGCAACTGCCATCATTAACATGTACTTTTCTTGCCAGATCTACTAGTGGATGAGCCTCAGCCTCCCATGAAACACTCCCTCAACTAAGCTTCTTCTCTCTACCCCTTCTCAGACATCCACCACCATTTCACACCTTCCATTCTTTACTTCTCCCCTGACTTTTTTCCTTTCCACCTTTATAGTCATAAGGACAAAAAAACCCCAAAATTACAACCTTGGGATTTTATTTTTCTCCACCCTCATTAGTAATGAAAAAAGTACATTGAGCCTCTTCGATGAGTGGTGAAGACCATTCAACCACGCACACTAGCAAAAAAGTGTCTGCACAGAGCATAAAAATAGATGAGGGGAGTGAGAAATCAGAGACAAGAGAGGGAAATGCGCAGAGCCTCACAGAAATGGCAATGGAAAAGGAATTTGGAAAGAGAGGGTCCAAAGAAAGAGTGGAAGAAAAAAATCTAGGGTAAAGATAGACAAGAGATTAGTTACTGAGAAGGAAAAATATTTCCAAAAGGGTTCCTCTCAAACAACTTAAAATCCTAGCTGCTATCAGAATACAACAGCATGGATAAAATGAACAACAAACAGAAAGGAGAAAACAGGATAACTAATATAAGCACAAGTTCATTAAAATAAGGTAAAATGCACAGATCACCATCAGTAGGCTCCTGTTACCACCTTTATAAATGAGCAGCAATAATCAACATCAGCCGTGAATACGTTAGGCACACACCTGAAGCAGGATGGAAGCAACAGCTATTCTACTCCAGAGATGCCTAATGAAAACCACTTTGGAGCGCTGCGACGAGGGACGCTGCACCTGCACTTCCTTTTCTTCACCTTCGCTTTCAGCTAGTAGGAGTGGACTATGTATCAGGCAAATTATAAGGTCATGGAGGCACATGAAACATCAGTCGAGTTGCCTTATTCAAATTTGAGTTTATCATTGCTCAATACAAGCAGTGAAACATGCTCAGATAATTACACGGGATGAATTTCAAGAAGTTGAAAGTTAACAGAGTTCAACAAGTTAGTAAAACATTTACACAAAAATTACAGTTGACTTCAACAGCGCTGGCCTGAGTCCAGTGACACAAGGTAGAACACCCATTTCCCAACACAGAGAAACACGTGTAAATATCATCTGTGTAAGGCAGATTTCAGATACCAAGCCAAAACGTTGAAGCACATCCAATATAAAGATTTGGGAACTACACAGACTGTATGATCCAAAAATACTGGGATGCTGCATAGACTGCCAAGACTGAAAGCATGCATAGGAAGCAAAAAAAACCCCAAACAAAAAACCCCAACCAAACTCTCCTTAAACGACAAAAGTAAAACCAATGCCAGAATAATAAGAAGAAACCTTAAGACATTAAAACACAACCTTACTTAGAGTTTGCCATACACAGAAACACTGGTAATCTTCAAGACAAGAAAGTTTCGCCCACATTCTTGAATATTTCTGACAAAAGAACATGCAAAACAAAACACAGCAACAGGAGCACCTCCCTGTAAAAAGGAGTCTGTCTGATCTGAGGGGAAGGAAAAGCAGCGTACCTGAGATACACAAGAATTTACCTTCTGTTTCCTAAAACATTATTGGGAAATATTTGGTTATAAATATTAGCAAACAATTAGAAATATTTACAAGATATAAATATTGAGGCAAATATTTTAGGAAAGAAAATAGACGAATCATGTAACTCAATTCATACTGTTATTTATTGCCCAAGCACACCAAAAATCATTCAGAATGGAAAGTCTATTTTCTGCACTAAAACACTAACAAAGTCTATTTCCCAGATGAGCAGCTTTTACACTTAACACGCATGACTAGACAAATACATTTAAACCTTTTTTTTTTTTTACAGAAACTAGTCATTACATTTTTTCTGGACTTGTTTTTACCTAGTAAAAAAAAAATGCTTTCTTGGATTGTTTTGACAAAAATGTGAGCCTCGTAAAAGTACACAGTTTAAAAACCACAACAGAAAGAACAACTGAATCTGTTGGCAGAATTTCCCAGCATTTCCATCAAGATAATGGCACAATTTTCCTGTGTTTCCACACACACATTTGGGGTAAAATTCTGGATCTAGAGCTTTAAACGCTAGAAAAAAATGGAACCAACTGCATTATCAGCATTATCAGCAGTTTTAATCTTCTTTTTCCCGTACTGAGGCTCCAATTCGTATTATTTATTTATTTATTCTCATCTCTGGCCAAGTGAGTTTTCAATTTTGCTATTTAATTAGACCAAGGCAGCTTTCCAAGAGACTGCTGTGTTAGCCTTACCCCCCTGCAGCGTGTTAGCGAGTGTCCCTTCACAACTTTGCCACCGTATACCTACAGGGGCTGTAAGGGACCTCTTTCAGTGGACCAACCGGTATTCTTAGAAAACAGATTCTGGGTGCAGAGAGATTTTGGGTGCAGAGGGCTTTTGCTTCAACCTAAGCTTGGGGAGAACTCCAGTGCAAATTTCAGCGTGATGCTACTAGTTGCGCGCCTTGAAAGCATTCACCAGAGCTTCACCAAGAGTGATCTGGAGACGGGCACCCTGACACCCCTTTTCCAAATCTAACTACCGTTAGGGCTGTAGGGTTTTTAACTTTTATACGCCTCAACGCCAAAGCATTCTTCCTTTCTTCACGTCAAACAGCTGCAATCTGAACCCTTACACTGAACACGCCTGGAAAAATCCCCCCTACCTTCACTTTCTCTCCCCGAGCAAAAGTCGCCGCGGTTCCTTCCCGGTCCCCCGCCGGCGGCGGCGGTGAGCGCGGCCCTCGGGATCCCGCGGCTCTCTTCCCGAAGCCGGCACCGACAATGCTAAGCAGAAATACTCGTAGAAATGCTTATTTCTTCCTCATGAGCCACCCACAGCTGCCACTCGACCGAGAGAGCGCGTCCTTCTGCCCGCCCCAGGCGGCAGCGC